TTTCGCGGCTTAATGTGTTCCTTGGCCATCCACTTTTCCTTTGTCCTTGAAGGTTCCATGTGAGTGCTTGTCTTGTGACGCAGTTGGGTGCTTTCCTCGATGTGAGTCCTATCCACTTCCAGTGCTTCTTCCTGATTTCCTCCTTCGCTGGAATCTGGTTCGTTCTCTACCACAGTAGGTTTCTGCTGATAGTTTCTGACCAATGGATTCGAAGTATTTTGCGTAGACAACTGTTAATAAAGAAATATGCATAAATAATTTGAGTCAAGTAATACTGTTGTGTTTGTACATGGTTGCGCGCCTAATTTGACTTACAAAACACAATACTTTCAAATGTGTTTACTGCATTTTCACCGATTTGAATACTGATCTATTTGTGAAAATCATAACCAATAGTTACTATTTTAAAACGATTTAATTCATTAGATTAAAAGGTATCAAAATATTTTAAGATAAAGTCTATTCTAATTTGTCGTTCGAAATAATATAGCAAAAATAGGAGGCAAAATGTGATTCTAAATTCAAATACAGAAGTGATCTAACTGTTTGATATGGTGGATGCGCTTGAAGTCCGTATCAAAAAGCCTGACGGCAAAGAATACCATCTCAAAAGGCTATTCTGGATATCTACCAAATTATTGATTCCAATATGATTTTGCAATTGCACCTTGACGAGTATAGAGCTATAATATTAAAATAACTCGAATTCTTACTTACTAACTATCAAAATTAATCAAAATCTGAAATTATATAAATATGTATCTGCTTATTTTGCCTGATCGTCACTTTTGAATTTAAGTAGTATTTAAATTTACAATCGACTGCTTTAGTATCATTTTGAAGTCCAACTAAGTTTTATTACATATTCCAAATTACCAGAGCAAAGAAAGACCTTTGTAAAAATTTATGAAAAAGGAATTCTCACTATGACCAATCATAACAGAAAGTGATCTTAAACTTTTGTAGCATAAATGTTTATCAGCAAAATATAATTAGAGTAAATGAATATTGAGGAAAATTTTCAAAACAGCTGTGCGTCAAACGACTAGTTTCGTTGAACAGAAACCATTGTGAAAAGCCAGCGTGTTATAACAAAGTACAGTAAGGAAAAATAGTGAACTCTCTATTGTTATATTTATCTACAACTGACCTAAATTGGCATTTCAATGGAACAGCCGATTTCCTATTTTGTCAATATCAATTTTTCATACGTTAGATCGATTTCATTCTTCAATCAAATCAATATTGTAAGGAAGGAAAATAAATTTTCTTATCACTATATAAGTAGTATTAAATCGGAGAAACTTTCCAAATAATGAAGCACGTGAATGAATAACGACTGGGGTTACCCCAGTAAACAGTGAGCGCATAAATCAAAACCAATTTAAATCTAACTGAAAGTGTATTCAATACATTTTTGACTATTTTGATTCTAAAATAAAATATATAGTCGTTTACTGAATCGCTGTAGATGATTTATATGATGCGTAGTAAAGGCATAATTTCAGTGTATTGTAAAGCTCCAAGAGTTATAGATGAACGTTTGTGTTTGAGTTATTAACAATTTTCAATGAATTAGTCACAATATCTAGTGTTTTTTGTTCGAATACTTCCACATAATATTTTCAATAAATCGTTTTAAATAAAACTATTCTTCACAGTTAACTTGGACTGAACTTTCATGAGTTGATATCCTAAGTGGATTCCCTTAAATTAAGTAATACATTCATGTCTTTAGAAAATATTAAGAATATTGTCCATTTAAGATGAAAAACTTCCTTAGTCTTTAAAACATAAAAATGAGGGATTCCATATGTTCTCCATTTATTCCCACTGTGACTGGATAAAAACCAATAATCTTGGGTCGTCTCCTCAGCAGTTTACTTTATTTGTTTTATGAATTTATTGGTTCAGTCGTTAACATTTTTATTCCTTAGTTATTTCGCTTAACGTTTATCGACTTCACCTATTTTAAAAGCAGATAAAAATACGATTAGTTTCAGAGCTTAAAGTAAATGGAACACATCAGTGTCATAAGGCAGATAAAATGCGAATTTATTGGTTATAAATTAAAAGTATACCAGCATTTCATTTCTTAACGTCTTTCTCATATTTTCTAATTGTATGATTTTGTGTTATTCAGTCACATCATTAGTAAGTGTAGAAAAATCAGGTTCTGGTTCAAAATTTTTATTAGTTAAGTGTTTTAAAAAATCTGGCTTCCAAATGAACTCGTATCCCTAAAACGCCCTGATACGGTAGAGAGTGAGGCGAATCCTTTCTTCCTCTCAAAATACCCTCGTATAGGCACGTATATATTATTCACTACTCAATGGATTCTCGTGACAGGGTGTTGTTTACAAAATTTGGGGGGACGAAAAGCGAATTCTCGGTGCTTACACAGGGATGGTAAGTACAAAGTACTTACCTAGGGATATTGGAAAACACTGATTCCAAATTAGTGGTGCATATAAGCTCCAGTATCCTGATGGAACAATTAGTGTGTAAACCTACTGCTGGTCACAGGCTATTATGGGACTGTAACTCTTAACACTGCCTTGTGGATTAGACCTGAAGGTCAAAGAATTGTGGAGAGGTCTCCTGCTTCTATCTATGTGCCCTAGCAGTACCCGAGCCCAGAGACGATCGATTGATTTGTTTGACATATAGATTTTTAGGTGTTACTCTGTACAAATAATTGTGTTTAAATCAATGAATAATTTATACTCTTTCCCTGTCATTTATTTCTAGTTTAAAAAAATTTCCATTACTAAGTTAAGATTACGTTTCCTATCATTTCATTCCCTAAGGATGCAAGTACTGAAAAAAAGTGTGATTGCAATTATCAAGTTTGGAGAGACATTTTTATTATTTTCCCAGTAATAAAAGAATTGGAATCATTAAAAATATTGAGGCTTATTGATCGTTATTGATAACTGGCAGGAACCTGGTTAAAGTATACAAAAAATAGTTTATTTATGCGTATGTTGTTTTGGGGAAAAAGTATAAAAAATGTAAATCGTATTCTTAGCTTTACTAATATATTTCTCCCTAGAAAGATAAGCACTTCTAACATGATGTAAATAAGAATTTGATAGTCTTATTCTTCAAATGAATGTCATAGTGACGAAATGGCTAAGTTCACTATATTAATCATGGTACATGAGCATTAATACATTCTGAATACATTGCTATAGTGAAAGTTAACCGAAAGTAATTCATCCAATGCCATGATACTTGCAATACAAATCATTTCATAAAAGCAATTTTTCAACGTGTGATAGAATCCGCATCTTTTTTTATTTCGTTCAATAATGGTTGTGATGAGACAAAAACACTTACGAACTTTGAAAAGTGTAAAAGTTCTCGTTTCTGATGCTTCGATTGAGATTATGGTAATACTGTTTATTTTGATAAATTATCACTCATCAATTTCACTATTTAGAAAAAATTTGGCAGTTTAATTAACTTTGTTTTCTGTCAGTAAACTGAAATTCAAATTTCTAGTAACCTTTGTTTGACCCAACTCCAAACATTTAGATAACCTTATGGTATAATATAAATTTGAATTAAGTTATTTGAAAAACAACCTAAAATCTGATGAGTTTCATTATAATTCATTTCATTCTGTAAACAACGTTATATTTTCAGGTAATTAGTTTGCTTCGTGACGTAGTCTAACATTTACTGGGCTTCTTCGATTGATATCACGTAATAGTTGTTGGATTAGGAAAAAATCGATAGTCAAAATAATTTATGAAACAATGTCTATTGATTCATTATAGAAGCTGTGAGTTTTAACAATGAAGAATGTTCTTCTTATCATGCACGATATTGATCATCTAAAAATAAATATACAATCATGCAGCAGAACATTTAGAAACTACGATTGGATTAATTTCACTTATTAGTATCGTTATTATTATTATTATTATTACTACTATTATTATTATCAAATGAGTAATGCTATAGCAAAAGGGAATTTTTATGGTCAACATTGTGATGCAGTCTAAATCTTGAAAGCCCTTAGTGGGCACCTTTACTGCCAGAGACGGAAATCCGTGAGGTATGGTGAGGTGTGACATTTTTGGGGTATAGCTTTTCTAATCCTTCCTTCGTTGTGAGAAGGCAGTATCTCTGCAGATGCTGGTTGTCCGAGGGAAACACCTTATTGCTGTCACATCCCTCAGCAATCAGCAGTACGACGTCGCCCTCAGACCTAATACAGTTAAAGTTTGGATAATTATATTCGCACTGACCAACTGATAGATGATTGAGTCTTGGTATCGATAGAAAAGTTTAGATAACACATAACATATGTTCCAGCCGATATAGCTCAGTTGGGTCATAACGATAGGCAAGCCCGACCACCACGTCAAGGTAGCAGCTACGGTAGGGCAAGGAAAGTGAAATGATGTTTCTAATCAGTGAATCGAATTTGATTCAGCTCTTAACATTTGCTAAACAAAAACCTCATCAAGATTAAAATGATTGGTGATAATTTCTCTTCAGATTTTTCTGTCATCACTTTCACCCTTATTTTTCATTAAATTTTTAAACAACTGGCTTTAGTTGTCCAAAGTCATTTTTTAAAACATTGTCGTAATATTTTAAACATATTTTTTTGGATCAGTTTCCAATTTTGTTCTACCAAATTGTTTTTGTTTTTCTTTCCAGGCAAAGAAGATTGGAAATAAAGTGAATTTTGTAATTCGCGCTACTTCTTTTTTTACTCGCAATAAGTGTTTGTTAAACTATTCCAAACTGTATATGTTCTACACAAAAACACCTAACTTTCCGACCTTAGCCAAATCAATATGATAAAGTATGCCTATGATGAAAAGAAGGTTAATGGATAGAGAATTGAAGCAACTGTGTATTCGTTACTCGTATTCTATTGGGTAAACTATGAAAAGGAAGTTATTTTTTTATTTATAACACAAATGTGAAATTAATCGATTGGAAATATAGATAAACATACATATGTTGTGCATTTCAACCCTATATCAGATTGATGTTGAAGGGAAGTAAATGAAAATTATAGTTAGGATTTAGATTGGTGCCCTAATCCTGGTCGATAAATTTATTGAAATACAGCTATGCACCTATAACCAAATACGCCTACATAATCACTGAAATTCAACAATCAACTTAATATTTCATCTTATCAGCACATTTCGTAAGTGATCGAACAGAGATTAACTTCACATTTTCCCGGTTAGTGAGACTAATACAACGCCGTAAAGTTCTCTGCTTATAAATAATATATTCATATTTCCAAGGATTCTTAATAATAAATACCGTTTTCCTAATTATAGCTTCCATTCACGTACATCACCAACTTCTAATACTACAAAATGAGTGACGAAGAAAGCCAACAAAGGTTAGTTTCATATTGTTCATGATTATCAAACCTTTGACTGTATTCTGTATATTTATAAGTCATATTTTAGTTGATTATTTTAATAGATAATAGAAGTGCAGTTAGGTAATCAGTACATTTTAGTAAATACTAATCATTTTAATCACGAAACTGACTTAAATCTAATCATTTAATGAGACATAAAGAAGAGTGTAACATTAGTACTAACATACATCTACATTAGCAAATTACTATCAATGAAGACGGTTAAACGAAAAGTCGACACATTTATTTCTGACTAAAAAAGAATCAATATTCTAGTTAAAATGACTAATGACAGATAAGTCGTTGAAGATAATTTATTGGAAACCTTGGATTTATGCTTCATGTTGGTTTTCATTCTTCAGTAAAGCATAACTTCAAAGGAACTGATACTGATGATGATGGTATACAAGATAATATTTAATGTTCATCACATAAATGATTCCCTTTATGAGTATTAATCAGTGATGAAAATTACCCTTATATGGTTAGTAAATGTATCATAAAGGTTTACAAAATCTTCAATAGCTATCATGTGTATTGTTAATTCGACTATTCTTCCTTGATATTTATTGAATTTCATTTCGATTCACTGAAAACTAGAAATTGGTTGGAAATTGATCCCATGTTTATGCACCTGAATAAAACTATGAATAAGGTTTAATTGAATGAGAAGTTTGTTCTATGCAGTTTTATGCAGACGTTTTTCTTTGTTTCGAATGCTTATCATCAATCTAGTTTAATAGCCTATCGCAATTATCTACAGTATTTCTATAGAAATATTAAGTACAAAAGTCTAGTGACAAATTTTATTATTCGTTTTTGTTCAGTATGAACATGTGGTTATCAATTTTTTATTTGGTTTTGCTTGTTAACTAGCATTTCATCATTATAAAGTTGAATGATTGCGCTTATTTCTACTTTTGTGTTCGTTTCGTAGGAAAATTGGCAACGATACTATGGTTTGAGTTTTTACTGAATAAATAATACATAGTTTATAAACTTTGACAGAACAGTCAGAAGATCTCAAAAATGTGATATTTTTGCGCTATACATTTTGAAAAATCTGTTTTAAACGCAGTTTATAGTTCTTTAAGTCATTCAAGATAGGAATTCATAATGACTACGTTTGTACTCAGTGAATGTATTTCGAAATAATATAATCGGGATCACAACTTAAATTGCTTCGGTCATGATATTTCTGAATAATTTGTGAGCACTTTTCTTAACGACCCGACATTACTTGGAGAGTAGTTTGAAAAAATTCAGAATTCACTACACAGCTTTGCCAACCTTTTTCCAAACTCTTCAACAATACATTTCCATCTCTGTTGAAGTCCGTTCTTCTATATTCACGTTATACGCCCAATAAACTATCGTTGAGAAAATGCAAAATAATGATCAACATTACCATTTTTAGTTCACATTTCACATAACACAATTCTAATCAAGTGTGTTCCATAAGCTATTTTACTAGCTCCAACATTATTATTGCGGTTTTTTCATTATCTATTATCAGGTGAGGCATGCTTTAAGTATCAACAACATACTGTAACCTTGAAGGTTAACCAAAGTGGCAGTGAGATATTTATTCATCCTTGATATCGGATTTTAACGATACATCATAAAGTGTCTGAATTTGAACACATGACCCACAAGACCTGAACGTTCTAGCTTCAACACTATATATGGTTATGAGTATTCATTCCAGAAATACTTTAGACTAAAACAAAATAAAAGTTCACTTCATCATAACTGAAAATATTTAAAATAGAAATTGCTATTAATTTATGTATTTTCAATTTGTGTGTGTTTATTCATAATGAACGATTAAAGTGTATGAAACATGGCATAAAATTTCCTAAATACATATTACATAGGCATACGGGATAAAAAACGAAAATCGACTTTAATTTTTTTACTTGAATATGTTTTGCCACTTTACGAATGAATAAAGTATTTTAATTTCACGTTCTGCATTCTATTTCTTTTTTTATTTTCATCAGTTCATCAGAAGAGGTAAGTTAATTGTCAAGTGATATGTTTCATGTTTCATATCAAAAATTGTAGTGCGTATCCTGATACAGAGAATATAGTTGATTTTATTTAGGCCTATAAGTTTCATGGATAGAAATCTTTATTTAGTCAGTTGTCGATGAACTTAACTTATCAAGCTATCAGCCTAACTCGATAACGTCTACTGAAAGTCCATTCGATTTTACTATACCACTTGTAATTATTTAAGTAGTATTATAAGCTCTTACAAAACGTTTCATCAGGTTAAAAACTATCAGGGTCTAGTCAGTCACATGAAATTAATGTACTGTTACTGTAGAGTAACTTATTCGAAGAATATTATATTCTGACATTAAAAATGTTCCCTTAATCATTGAAAACAGTTGTCTAAAATAGATATTCTGAAATAATAAGATCAGTTCATCATTTCAAGTCTTATTTAACAAATATTATTTGTGCTTTTTAATGATAACTTTTATTTATCCTTGTTTTGTTGTATCATTCAATCTGATCTCCAAATGATTTCATATAATTCCACAAAATGTAATCATTTTAGTCCGAGGAAGAGTCTGAAGAGGTGGGCACTTCGACGTTTGATTATAAACGCATCAACACTACAAACACACATTCATACATATACTATAATGCATAAATGTATTTTTTGTTACAACATATATCCGATTTGAAGATAATTGTATTAGATTATTTAGTGCACAATCTCAGAATTGAGAGATATTAATTATAACTATCTAGATGTGACTATAGATGTTACTTATTAATTTATTTCAGTTGATGTATATGCATGTTGTTTTAAGTGTCTGTTAAATGATTTCATTTGTATTGTATACACGTAGACACTTGAATCTAGACTATTGTTTTCCTTTTGTTTAGTAGTTAAGCTATAAAAAATTAAACTTATCTATGTTAATGTCATGAATATAAGGTCTCTAGTTTTCTATGTCTTTGTACAGAGGTATTCAAAGATAATTGTATAACTCAGAGCACGCTATCTTCATAAGCTGTTCCATTTTCATTTTTTTGTATAAGTCTGAAAACCTGTTCAATCAATTTAATTTTATCAATACTCTAAAGAAACTTTGTTTAAATACGGGTCAAACAGTATATGAATCAAACTACTTTAGTAATGGTAACGAGATGTATATGGGTTGATATCAGTAATACTCATTAACCCTCAAACATTACAACGAGAAAACGTAAAGAACTACTTAATTTTCAGTTGTTGGTTTGAAAGTCCATTGTGCGTTGCACCGCATTCATTGTTATGTTATGCTTGACTTATCAAATAATTACCTGCCGAACTACTTGGTTTCAATGAAATCAACGACACTAGTACGGAAGAAACATTCTTCAATGAATCAAGAATAATTTAACGCTCTGTCGTTTTATTAAGTTACATATATTTATTTTCTTTGTATGATCAAAAAGAGTTGTAAATAGCACGGTTGTTATTATCATGCATGTTCAATCAATTAATTTATTCACTTTTTTCATTATAGGGTTGTGAAGATTGTTGAGTTTCATTGAAATCGTTAGACCACAATTAGAAACCTGGAAATAATGCACAGCCTTTCGGTCCTAGTATAGGAATCATCAGTAGTGGGCAATCACGATTTCTCAGGCATGGAAATCATAGTCAGGACTTTCAATGTCGCGCGCGAACGTCTAGTCTCTAGACCACTAGGCAAGCATCCAACTGTGTTAATGTTTAACTTTAATCGAAACAGCTGTCCAGCGCTTTCAGGTTTCTAATGGTGGTCTAACAATGATCGATTCATGATTTCAATTATTCACTTTTATTTTTCGGAATTTATTCAATGGAGAGTAACATCATAACTTTTCGGTGAATTTTTACATTAATCGTGAAGCATGTTCATATTTAGTGTGTGTGTCTGTGTGTCAATATTTATTTATGTTTATAGATGAGAATATTTAGCTTCATAATACAATATATTGCTTTTAATACTTATATATGTATACTGAAATAACTGTTTACTGAATTTGATTTGATTTTCCACTTTTGTAGGAGACTGAGAAGGAAAAAAGGGAAAAGGTATGAATATAATTTTAAAAGAAATTGTTGTAAATCTAAATTATTCAATTTGATATTTCATGATTGTTTAAATAATTTTTGAATTATCATATATACCGAACTAATTGAACAGTTTTTGCACTTTATGCAATGTTTCAAGAAGCTACTTCTAATCTACGAAATCAATTTAATCAAAATATAGGAAAATCGTTGATGTTGTTATAAGTAGTTTTGTTTATTCTAAAATTCATATATATATATATATATATATATATATATATATATATATATACATAAAAGTTAAATAATGAAATTGAATGACTAATAAGACAAAGGTATAACACATGTTAACTACCAAGAATGATCATTTTCCTATGCCTCACTAATTCAGTGGCGAAGGATAAAGATAAATTATTTTTAGTTACATTTTTGGAGATTTGTGTTTTTACACATTTGAAATCATTAATCAATCATTGTTCGACAACCGTTAGAAACCTGGAAGCACTGGACGGCTGTTTCGTCCTGGTATGGGACTCATCAGCAGTGCGCGGTATTATGCGCGAACACCTAACCATCGGACCACTGGGCCGGCATCCAACGGTGTTAATGTCTAATTCTGATTGATCTACAGATTTTGCGCGACCTCACCCATCTGTCTTCGGTAGTTACTGCCTACACCCGACAGGGCTGAACTCCACTGGTCAAGTTTTCTCACGAGAACTCCAAGAATTTCCTGACGAAGCTAGTCACTAGTGAGAACGTGTTACGATATTTTCAGTTAGAGTTTTGGAGATTTGTGTTTTTACACATTTGAAATCAGATTAGTGTGTAAAGTGAGGAATAACTATGCATATGTGCTGTTTAGTTGTATTTACTAATACTGGCAACTTAAGTACTAGATTCTGGTATCTTACATCTTTTCAAGTGTCGTTTTAGTGGAAATTTCAAAGTCAACATCAGTTTTGTAAACATAGAAAATATACCTGGAGAATCTAATCCTGTGGAGAGAAATAACAGCGTAATATCTTAGGTTTTAGAAAAAACATTTTTAATGTTAGTATTAGCAGCTTTTTGCTTCTTGTTATACTTTTTTGTTCAAGATAAAAGATTCAAACTATAACTGATTTTGTCTTAAAAAAATTCTCACTTTCCCAAACTAGCTTAAACTTATTACGATTTCCCAAACCATTTCGCTATGAAAATTTAATAATCTGTCTAAAGCTATCGCAAACAATAATTATAAATCTACATTATTTATACTCTAGACTAATATATTTAGCAGGTGATAATTGCTACATTTAATAAATAAGCACAAAGGAAAATCAACACTCTTCTGTGTTTTTATTAAAAATAATAAACTCTTATCTTCCGACATCATACAAAACAACAATAAACTCAACTATTTATCAATTAACAAAATTCTATAAATCAGAAAATCAATTATTCATAGTGAACTTTGAGTAGATGATCAATAACATTTTGCTTGGACAACATGTTGTACATTATATATAATATAGTTTATTAAGTGAATTTTAATCACTGAACTTTAAATGCTTCAATTTTCTGATCAGAAAAAAAAGCTAAAACATTTTAAGTTTAAACTTGTACTCATCAATAAGTTTCATATGCATAGCACTATGAAAAACAAAACAACAAAGGACATATTGATATAGTTTATGTTGCATGAAATAAAAAACTGTGAGTTGGCTGTTAAGGTTGAATCTAACGGTAGTCATTTAAACATTGACCTGGAAGTTAAAGAATTTGATCCTAATAATAGTGTTATTATCTAGATTGTTCTTAAACCTCAGGAAGACAGAAAAACAATTCAGTAATATATTCATTTAGATTGATTGCTTGAATTTCCCCGGTGATGTTTAGTACAGCAATTAATCAGTCTTTTTGACATATATGCACCCTGTGCAGATTGCCATGATACTGACTTTAGGTTACAAGCATTATTAGCAAATGTGAGTACATCCAGCTGATGAGCACAAAATGGAATGAAATGCCCGTCCTAGACTCCACTACAAGTCATGATCCACCTCTGCTAATAAATCCTATATATATATATATATATATATATATATATATATATATATATATATATATACGCCTAATTTAAAATTCCAACTAATAATCCTAGCAGAAAAATAAAATAATGAAACTATTTTTCATTGAACATAATCTAGTCATCTTCTGAAGAAGATTCAGAGGTAAACAAATGCAGTTTTTAACTTTATTCAATAACTGTAGCTTAGTTTTGTATGAATTAGATTTTTAGTTTATTGAATGTAGATGCAAAAAAAGTACTTATTTATCCCAATGTTTTCGCTTTTGAAAAATTGAAATTCTTATCAATAATTATCACCAAATAATGTTTGAATTGATGTGAAGCAGTAATGCGGAGTTTTGCCTTATTAATTAATTAGAAATTCTCAAAGAATCTAGAATTAAATCTGTTTAAATAATCTATCTATGAAGTCTGTACTGAGATTCGAGTACTCGATATAATAATTCCCCAGCTTTTTCAACATATTTATCCTGTTAAAATGACTGTAGATTCTAATTGTCAAAGAAAAATATAGTTATTCAATTTGTTTTAACTGCCATCGATTTGTATAGACAAATATCTTTATAACAAACTATCTGATGAAGTAATTTCTATTTTAATAATAGATTTCATCACAAGCTAACAAACTAAGAAGGAGTCAAATTGCACTAGAACGCACTAGATGTCTGCTTTGTTTTAGTTTGTAAATTAACTACGGTTCATTTTTAGAAGACGGTGACTGCTTTTTCTTCAGATTACTTTGTTAGGATCAAACGGTTTGATCGTACTTGCTTCAGTGAAATTTTCATGTCAAAATAATCATCCAGTGCTTTTGTAGGTTAATTCCTTACTACCAGAAGTGGCTTCACTATGAGTGTAAAGGTCCGATTCTAGGACATTCATGAATAAACAACTGAATACTGTTTGCTTAAATGGTTTAGATAAATTCCTTTTAGTTTTAGTGTTATATACAGAATGTTATCTCCTAAAAAACCCATCAAATCATGAAAGTAATGTATATCAATATCTGTCCTAATCTGGGACTTGTTTCTCCAATATTTATTAGCTTTTACGTTTGTTATATTTGTTAATAGTTTTACAGTAGTGGTATTTAAATTGTTTCTACTATTGTTGATCATAGTTGTTGATTTCTGTTTGTTTCTTTTTTGAATTTATACATGTGACTGTTTATAGTTTTGTGAAAAAAGGGATAAATAGGGACACAACTTGTGTTGATAACATCATTTCATGCAAGCAACAAAATAACTTTCACTACATGTGATTCCTTTTTTTAAACGTTGATTTTATTTAACTAATATTAGGAATTCCGTTTTGATGAGTATGCTGAAAAATAAACACTGGTTTTTTGAAATTGTTAGTCCCGGTTAGCTAGATATCATTGGTTTAATTTTACTTAGACTATCAAACAAACACAAACATTTATTTAGAAGCACTTAGCTTCTTTACGGAAGGTGCTTTTAATCTATTGACTATCTAAATTTATTACGGAAAAATGTAAGATTTCCCCTTTTAGGAAAAATCATAATTCTAGACGGGAACAATCTGTATATATATATATATATATATGTGTTAATGTCTGTTGAGTACAACCACTAGTATACAACAAGCAGTGGGTAGATGGCTAAGCATTCTTTATTGATCAGCTTTCATTTCACGGAGCTTTATAATGTTTCTGTAAATTTTTGAGTATCTAAGAATTGTAAGTTAACAATTCTGTTATAGGAACTGCCTGTAGCAACTTTGATCAGAAACATCAATAGGATTGAAGTTTCAGCTACTGTTTGTAAACGGTAATGAAAGGTTTGTGTTGAAACTGCATTTAGTTGTCAATATACAACAAATCCATTACGATCGTCCAGGAGTTTCGTACTGTTAGCACTGTCATATCATTTGTTTACAAAATTTTATATAAACAATCAAAGTAATTCATTGGGTAAGAAAGTCTTTATTCAAATTACATGGCTAATATAAATTCTAATTGTAGTCTAGTAGAAAGAATACAAGTTTTATTGACAAATTCTGTTGGTATAGAAATGGGTATTTTATTTAAAATAATTTAACTTCTATCCTAGTAGTTGTATTTTGTTTAACAATAAATATACGAACTATAACTATCTACTTCAGGCAAAAAACGATAGACTAATTAGTTACAAACACCATAGTATGAACGAAAAGATGGTATCCTTTTGTTCTTCATAACATATACGCCTCAGTTCTCTATTAATAAATAATAACGCCGGTATTTATTTGAGATTTTTCACTTCACCTACATGCATAATCTATCAATCATGAGTCATAAAAAAGTAGTAGAAAATATCATATTTCTATTTTAAGTTGTCTGGATAATTTGTATAGAATATTGGGGCTATCAGAAGAGAAAATAATTTTTGATTTTCGTTCATTTATTTCTATCGATTATTTATAGGAAGAAGAACGTCGACGAAGAGAGGAAGAGGTATGTATGCAATGGGAACATTTTTAACATGTTTTCTGTTTCGTGAAATAAATGATTATTTCATGATTTAAAATAGTATTATATTTTGTCTAAATTGTCTAAATTTTAAATGTTAATTGGTTTCATTACACATATACACATAAGTACAATGATAATGACGGAATAACATTGAACACTGAACCATTTATTTATGTGAAATAACATCTTATTTACACAATTTTCACATATGTATGTGAATATCTTAAATTAAAAAAACATTGGTCACATAAATTTTTTTAAAAGTTCATATTGCCACATTAGTACACCGAAGTCAATTTATATGAATGTAGATTTCATATATTTGCAGTTTTGCTTAACTTTATATCTCGCTGGATCCAGGAATACCTAGATATCACAAAAAATTACCCACTACTGTGAAGGCAATCGTTAGATAGGCCTACTGTTATCTGCAAAGTAATAACCATTAGTCAATAGGATTTTATATAAAATGCATGTAACTATATTCATATAACGTTTATTGCATGCGGACGGTTCAACCGAATATACACTCACAAGTCTCATTTTAGCATGAAAATTTGTAACGTAAAGTAATAAATTATATTTTTATAAAAACACCATGGTATATCTAATGATTTATGAAACATTTATCTGTATATTAAAGCGTTCAGTGATCATCTCGTTATTGATGTGTTATGTTGCATATATATATCTATATATACATATCTTTCATTCTATTCTGTTATTTACAAATTTAGGTAGCTCAAGAAAGACAGCGTAAACTAGAGGTTAGAAATGTTTTTTCATAAAAACAAAAGTCTGAAAAGTTAAAAAAAAACAAGATTAAATAATCTTTTTCTTACCACTTACCTACTACTGATACTATTTATGTATTCATTTGTTCATTCACTAATCGCAATGATTTCTCATTCACGCACTACTTAACTGTCTGTTTATTCACCCACTAACTTAACTACCCATCAGCTTATTAACACTTTCATAAAACAAATCATATTTTTTCTAAGCAAAGTTCATTGTTATTCAAATAAATCTTTCTGAGGATGTGTGTATTATGACTGATTGTGAAAACTTCAGTCAAATAAACATTCAATAATCCATCTAACAAAACTTTAAACTTGCAATGCACGAATAAATTCAAGCAATTAATTTCTTGCCTAGCATGTGTAAGGTGAATGAGAATAATCAATAATTGAAAGTTACAATGTAACTCAAAGATGCTTGTCAAGTGCTTAAAGAGCTATCTTGATAATATTCACTGTTTTAATTTATCGAGAACAAAATAATTTTTTAAAAAAAACCAAATATTTTCCTATAAAATGTAATTCATATTACAATGCAGAAACCTCTTTGAGTTACATTGTAACATAGAAAGCATAGAAACAATTAAAAACTTTCAATCCCAACTGATTAGATGTTTTGCTAGCTTTTTTTTCGCGCTATAAATTATTCAAAAGATAACTTGATCCAGTTAAGATGGCTTTTGTGCACTGGATAGCTTTTGTATTATGACAGCACTAATAGTAGATTTATTAATCAATAATAAAACAGAATGTGTTTCATTCCAAAGCATTACAAAAAAAAACAACGCTACTAAACATCTATGCTTTATTCGCTGCTTTTCACCTCTTTTAAACTCGTTGATTCATTCAATTTTCGTACGATTTTACTTTAGTTTGTTATGACACAACAAAAAATGATATTTTTTTATTGCACCGTTTCGCTTTCAATGCACAAAAACAAGCGCATGGAAGATAAGTACTGTTTAACAGAAAGGCTGAAATATTTGCTAAATAAGTGGGTACTTTAATATTTTGCCTTTCCTCCTCCACCTTATAATGTTCCATTCATGCTAAGCACAAACTAACAATTTGGCACTTGCAAGTATGCTTTCCTGTGAAAACTTTTTCAAGATTCATTATTGAAGGGTTCACATTTTAGCCATTATCAGATCACAACGAAAGGAGTAATTTAAGTAGATCAGCAAAAAAAAACAAGTCGTTTTAGTTAATATTTGTAGGTCTGTATGATTTTAAATGGTAGGCTCATTCTCTTTCTAGATTCAGAATGCTCAAAGAAGAATGTCAATTAGTAAACAGATTATGCCTTCTGTTGATTACATTTTTTAAATGTCTTCTTTTGAACATTTAAGTTGTCCAGCATCTAAAAATGGCTCATATTTATGTGATATTATTATTATCGAACAAAAGTCAATAAAATCATCTTAGAATATATTCTTTGGAAATGAGACGACAAATCTCAAAGATTTATAAAATTATTAATCTAATCAATTATATCAATTTTTAATCCCTTCAAAATTGATCTAATAAAGTAAACTTCCTAATTATCCAATAACTTGAATGATTCATATGTTAAGAAAAATTATGTATCAATTTTTAGAAGTCTATTGTCTACTAATCAACCATAGAACTTTTTAGAATTTGACTTTCAGCAGAAAACATCAGTAAACAGCTAAAAATCAATTCGAGAAAAAACCTAAGTTCATTATTACCGCCAAAGGAATGCAGTAAAACAACAATGCGAATTCAAGTTTCATTATAAGCATATTATTAAAAATTCTCACCACATTTTATTATTTTATGAGATTGTTCATGATGAAGTCAGCAATAAAGTCCACTAGATTCACTTTTATCTTTATGCTAAAACATTTTAGTCATTCAGCATGTAAAACCTTTTGCATTTTATCAAATAAAATGCTTATTAATATTTAAAAATCTGAATCAAGTTTTCAGCAAATAGACACAGGTTTGTTTCTCTTGTTTTGATTTTTTTGTTACAGACTAACATTTAAGTTTAATAAAATTAGTTTTAATCTATTTCACTAACTCTTGAGTTTATTGCTTTATTTTATGCTTATAAACCTAACTGACTACTTTTATGCTTATGCTCAAAAAAAAATGATAAACACAAGTAAATTCAACTTGCTTGCATGTTTGTCTTAAAAACAACAGAATAGATTAATTCTGTTCTGTTTGATAACAAACAGGTACATATTATTTGAATGGAATGAAAAATTGGGGGAAAGCTTTCATTTGAAGTCATTTTGACACACCATACATTTTAAATGTAATTCATTCTTTTTTTATTGATTTTTCAAATATATCCACTTTACGTGACTACAATTCATTAAAAAAATTTAAATAAAAATAAACAAGGAGAAGAAACGTAAAGAAGCTGAAGAAGCATCAAAGAAACAACGTAAACCTGGCCAGAAACGTAAAGGTTTAGGTGGTTTGTCAAAAGAGAAAAAACGACTGTTAAAAGTGAGTTGACCATACTTGATGTTTTTTGATATCTCTAATTTCCTTAACGTTAGTAAGCTATAGCTTTTTGTTAAAATAAAGTGACCAAAGTGTTATAGGTATGGTAAATTGTATATGTAAGAAAAAATTAATTTGATCAGTGGCACTCGTAGATATCATCCATCATGAACTGTGTCACATTTATTTAGGCATGAAGTATTTTATTTGCTCACTCAATACTCAAACTTCATCTACATGAAGCTTAAATGATGAAAACCTCCAGTAGTTTGGTACTATAAACGTTAATTTCTGAAGATATGATATAGTTCTATGATTTATGTTAACAAAATCTCACTAAAGAAAGCTATTTTTCTTGGAAGTTCAAGTTACGTATCTCACTAGCCAATTAAACATACTGAACTAGAACAAGTCATTTAAAATAAGTATACATTTCAAACGCTGTAGATATATCTTATCTGTTACTTAGTCGTGAGGATAGGTATAATAAAGACGGTTAATTTAGGAATCATTAAAAGATTTTGAATACCAATTTAACATAAACTGGTGAAAGATCATAATATTTTTATTAATATGACTCATTTCAGCAACTGATTATGCAAAAAGCCGCTGATGAAATGAAAGCTGAAATGAAGCGTCGACAGGAAGAACGTGAGAACTTTTTGCGTGGAAAGGTAGAACCATTGAAACTTGATGGTCTTGGTGAAAGTAAGTATAGCAGGAAACATTATGTACTTTTAACATATTTCTAGCTAATTTTTGGGCACCTAAACTAAGTTCCAAAAACACAAACTGATTGGAACGAATATCTGGTCTATCTGACTTTTCAAAAAATGTATTGCAGAAATCTTTGACCAAAAGGTTGTAACCAGTATTATTTTAACTAATCTTGAGAGCAAATCTCTTTTCCTAACAACTTAGTCTAGTTTTTTAACCAGTATACACTTATTGACAAGTAATGTTTCAAAATGATCAATTAACCTCTAATCAACAGTCAAATAAACTGTTTCCTTTATTTATCAGTTATCATCTTGCCGTTGTTTATTAAAAAAACTTCCAGATCAGTATCTGCTTACATATTGTTGTAATTTACTTTATTATGACTTTAATTTTACGTGTACTTTCCACTTATTGGCGTTAGTTGGAGACTTGTTAGTTAAATATATCCATTATTCGTTGAAAACTTTATTGTAACTATTGAATAATTTGATTTTACTAGTTTATTTTATAATGCGTATATGAAGGAGAGAATACATGAAATAACTGTATATAATAAGATTTATATATTGTGATAATAATAATAATTACTATTATGCATCATATAACGTTTGTATTACTTACAATTTTGAAATTCTTTATTAGATGATTTAAATGCTAAAGTTAAACAATTGTACGAACGCGTTCGACAGCTCGAAGGTGATAAATACGATTGGGAAGAAAAGCTAAGACGCCAAGACTTTGAGGTAATTTTATTTTGATGCATTGCTAGTTAAATCATTGTATTATCAAAGAAAGATTGCAGTAGTAACAGCATAAGGTCAGAGACTACATCGGTAACCAACTTGGTTAAACTTACTTACTTACTTATGCATGCATGTTAGCCCTAGTGAAGCATAGGCCTCCGATCAGCATTCCACAAATTACTCTGCCCTGGACTTTCCTTTCTAGATCCGTCCAATTGTAATTCACGCTTTTCATGACTGTCTCCAGTACTTGGCGTAATGTATCCTTCGGTCTCCTTTTCTTTAGGCTTTGAGGATTCCAAATACTGGCTTGTCTTGTGACGCGGTTAGGTGCATTTCTCAGTGTGTCCTATCCACCTCCTGCGCTTCTTCCTGATTTCTTCCTCCTCTTTAATCTGGTTTGTTCTCTACCACAGTCGGTTGTTGCTGCTAGTGTCTGACTAGCGAATTTTGGGTAGAAAACTATTGATAAACACGTGTATTTTTCGGATGATGGCTTTTGTAGTTCTCCAAGTTTCCGCGTCTTTCAGTAGAACTGTCTTGATACTGTATTGAAAATTGTGACTTTAGTGTTGGTTGATAGTTGTTTTGAGTTCCAGATGTTCTTCAGTTGTAGAAGTGCAACCCTTCCTTTGCCAATCCGCGTCTTCACATCTGCATCAGATCTTTCATCAGAACAGTCAACTCCTTTGTTAGACATTTCTCGACGACTGACTGAAGCCTCTGGTAGAACTGATCTTTAATGTCCTCCGTATTTATTATCATTGGTAGGCGCATAGCATCGGATGACATTCATTACAATCTTCTGTTTCTTTGTCTAGAAGGATACTTTGTGATCCTGGGTCCACGAGATTCCCACCCTATCAATGGTTTTTGTGCTTGTTAAGACAGCTTCATTGCAACTCGTTGTGTATGCGAAGCATTTTCTTCTTCATGGCCGGAGTATAACAGCAGCTATCCTTAAGCTAATCTTTGTTGTTGAATCTGTGTCTAATGTGTTTCACTGGTTCCAAGTACCGTTGGGTTGTATCTTTTCACTTCTGCAGCAAGTTGGACGACTCTCTCGGTCTCCCACATTGTACGAACATTCCATGTACGTAGATTAATGTTTGCTGTGTTTGTGTCACGAGGCCGATACCTTATGACCTCCTAAGAAACGCGGCTTTCATTATGAGACGTCATAACTTTTCTAAATGAAAACCTTTTAACGGTTAGAGCAGAGTTTAAGTGGTTTGAACTATTTTTTTCTGGTTAGCTTTTTTTAAGTGAGTTTGTTTTCTACAGGCTTGGGTCACCAATAGCACACCCAGCTCTCCCCCTTTATCAGGGGTAACGACCTGCAATAGCCCCAGACGGACTTGAGGTGGAGTTAACTAGGTTAAACAACCATTCAGAATTAGGGTGATATGAGACTGTTTTTGTGTTCTAGTACTTGACTCCTAAGGAGTTAATTTCATATTTTCAGTTCGAAATCATTAACTATGACATATGACAGCTACTAATAAATAATATGAATAGCTAAAAACAAACAATATCTCAAACATTTTACTTATTCACATTAAAATTCCTCATGAGGGAGGTGATAATTTGTATTTAAAGTTTTATCCGTCTTTGTGTATTTTAAACGATTTGAATATTACATGTCAATACAGGAAAAAGTAGTGGTACATTTTTTAAACTGCAATTGATACAACCAGATATAAGAAGACATATTTTGTGAGATAGTACCATTTCGTGCTTTCTCGTCAGTCACATACAAGCAACATGTTATTTGTGTAAATACAGTTTTACCATGGTTCTAGTGAGTGAATGTCATGCTAAATAAGAAATTTTGACCTTATCTTTAAAACTGTATTTACACAAATAACATGTTGCTTGTATGTGACTGACGAGAAAGCACGAAATGGTACTATCTCACAAAATATGTCTTCTTATTTCTCTATTCAAATTTATCAAAGGGAACCACTGTTTTGAACAACCAGATATCTTGTGAATTATCAGCTTTTATTGAAAGTTGTAAGTTCGTGAGTAATGATGGTTTCTCATAATGTTGAATTTTCTTAACAGGTAGATATATTTATGTACACAGATTAAATGAACATGTACCGAACATTCAACAGCTAAAATTAATTGTTTTTCTAACCATTAAAACCATGAGATACAATCCTGTTATGTTAATCCTGGTATATTTGGTTTACTAATATTCACTCTCACGTATTGATGTCTCAATGTATTTCATTCTTTTTTTACAAATCTTAAAAACTACAGTTCTGCAGACAAAATTCAAAAATTATTTGAAATAGCCTATATGATACTCACACGACTACACTATAAATAATATATATCCTAAAAGTTTTATTTTGAATAATTTTCCAGCATATAACAACTTTATCAATAAATCTGATGTATGCTAATCTACTTACCTATTAAATAAAAATGGAATAGGTCATAGTGCTCTTGATACAACAGTTTACTGAACATTGGAAACGTTTTTTTTACATTTCTTCCGTTTCATATCGAATGTTTTTTTCTCACTTGAATTGTAATCAAAATAAGATTCCGTACCTGTTTAAACAAAATATTACCACTAATAAATTATTTATTGATTTACTTGTTTATTCATTACTAGATCAATGAATTGACAATCAAGGTTAATGATGTGAAAGGCAAATTGTAAGTTGTATTATTCCTTACTTAATCTACTTATCGAATAAAATTGGTTACTTTACTTTATTAATTCATTGAAATCAAAACATGAATCACTCAACGACAAGCACATGAGTTCATGTCAGGCTTATAGACGAGTAAATATGACTTTGCTTAATGTATATATTTGTCTATCATCTGGGCTGAGGTAAAGTTGTATAGTAAAATCGAAAACATGGAGATAAAATTTAATGGACGTATTACTTTGCCATGACATTTAAAACTGTGTGTTTGATAATGTCTAGTTTGATAATGATACATCTGTCAAAGAGATTACAAGTTCAGAAATACATTAAGTCAAATAATATATTGACACATTTCATTTTAACTAATATTAAGGAAACCAATAGATTGAATTAAGTGGTTAACTATAAGTTTGTTAGTTATTTGTTATTCTCATTAAAGTAAGGACTGAAATTAATCAGATTGGATTATCTAGAAAACCTTTTATTTAGATTAGATTTTTGACCATTATCATGATTTGCCAATTATTTATGAATAACTATTTGACCGTTTTCATGATTGAACGAAAAGAAATTCGTGACTATCTACAGTATTTTACAGTGTAACAATAAGTTTTCTATCATAACTTAATGGTCGAAAGTATTTTCTCAAAAGGTAATAGGTTGGATAATTTACAGAGACATTTTTACTATTGATATTCATAAGTTAGTACCAAGGTCATGAATAAGTGAGTAATGTGAGTCAATCATTGATTTGTCTGTAAACAAATTATTACGTATTTTAAATTTTAAAAAATACTAATTTTTCATCTTGTTCTTTCAAATATAATGATAAAATATAAAAATCACCACTAATCAGAACAGTTATTTGAGCTAAAAACACTGTGTTTTCTCTAAAAAATGCTTTTGGGAAAATACTCAAATGGTAGCCCATACGGCGTAGACCCTATTGGAAAATACATTTTTTGTTTAGTAATTTCACAGTATACCAATTGTTTAGATTAGATTTTTAAAGCGATTTATTTGGTAGTGAGATGAAACAGATTCAGACCAGGTTATATAATAAGGTATTATTCATTCCTCTTATAATAATGATTTATATTCTATTGAATTTTCATAGTGTAAAACCTGTTTTAAAGAAAGTATCGAAAACGGAAAGTCATATGGCACGATTTGAGAAGAAGGAAGGTGGACATTCACTTTCTTCTTTCCGTAATCAACTTAAGTCAACCGGTCATAGTAAGTATGCTCTGGAGGAAAAGGATGAAGTCGCGGTAAGTTAATGAAACAATAATTAAGCTAATAAATGTATATTAACAAGTTAATTGTAACTTGGAAATACCAAATAATAAGTTTTACCCATTTCTAAGTGAGAACAATAAGTAGGTTTTAAGTAAAACTTTATTTCATGATAATAAAACAGTTCACTTTCTGTATGCATAAAAAGTAAAGATTTCTGTTATATAAATTGTTTATTGCGATATCCATCACATGTTATGCGATTTACTAGTACCATTTATTCAATTTTACGTTTCATCATTTTTAAAGGGTTTCAATGGTTAAATAGCTTTTCTAAACTAGAACCCTCCTAGAAAATCATATCCTCTGAAATCAAAGTATACTAGGAAAATATCCTACAAAGCATTTAACTAGACTTATGACACAAGTCTTGTATTGCTTCAGAGTCTTATATTTAAAACTTAATATCAAAAAATTACCAGTCTCGAAAAAATTTATGAAAGAATGATAACCTGGTAAGCAGGTAGATATTACTTTCTCCATATGTGGTCTCACAGGGATCACACCGGGATTATTTGCTTATCCGACTGCAGTGACTACGTTTAACTTATCAAGTTTCGCTTAGAATAACGTATACAATACTCAAATAATAAAAATTACTATTTTTGAAACTCTTCTGATGTTGTTAGGGTATCGTCAGTTGAATTACTCTAATTTTTCTGATTTACCGATAGTGAGGTAAGCATTTATTTTTGGAATAAGTAGAATTATACAGTTATATTTCAATATCTGTCCGAATAGTAAGAATGTATTACATTTCACAAATCTGCTGAATCACTTTGCACATGAGTGTCAGCAAGCATGAAACCCTGGCCTGGAGCTTTCTACCAAATAATTGGAACCATCAAAAGATAAAAACTTAATCATATCTGGATATTATCTGTTAAAAGTCTCTATATTCAGAAAACAATCAATTATTAATACTTCCATTATTAGTTAGTTAATATCCTTCGGAGCCATATTCTGTTGCAGTATAACTGCCATATTCAATAAACAATAAATTTTTTATCTGTTGATTGTGTAAATCAATTGTTTTTTTAAGTAAACCAACATTGCAACGTTAAATATTTAATGAAAAATCTGAGCTTTTTCAGTTACGGAGTATTTTTTCCATCTTTTCAGTAAGCTTAAGTATAAGTTTTTGTCAGAGAATATGTAACGTTACTTCACCTACTTTTCTAATGATTAGCCTGAGTTAACATAATAATCAGAAAATTTCTATGATTTAAAACAGTTAGTCCCTTAGAAAAATTTGAATGGTGTTATGAGAAGATTACCAGAACTATCATATATATCAGAGCAATACATTTTGAACAATCTGACTCATAATTGCTGAAAATAAACCACGCATGGAATCCCAACTGACTACTGTTGAAACATTGAATACTCGGATTCATTTAGGTTATTATAATCAACTCACAATTAACTCTCATATAAGTTAATCTATTCGTCAAAGCTTACTTTATTCTACATCCTAATTAACTTCTTTTCTTTCACACCTACATTTAACTGTATTATAGAATTTAACACTAGATAAGCATGAAATTACACTAAAGCTTTTAATTTTATAGTAGTTTTAAAATGTAGATTCACTGATTATGTTGATGATGACGAATTGATTAGATTTTTTATATTGGAAAATTTATTTTACTAACCAACAAGTACTCAGTAATAATGTAGTAACTTTTACGTCACACAATTCTACCACTGTATTATTTGATTTCTTTAGTTTGAACAAAATATCAAACGACGAAAACTATTCAACAATATTTATGCTCCATCGTAAATTATAAATAACTTTGGAAACAAAAGAAAGCATTGTTAGTTAAACCCACTAGCCAGCCAAATAATTTGAGACTTTTATAAATAAGAGAAATCCGTTCAGTATTTCGGTTAATCATCAAATACGTGAATCGAACTATGAAATGCCTACATTTCCATGAAAAGTTACCAATACTGTTCGTACCATATTTGTGCTTTGTATGATAATATTTGTCATATTCACTCACTGATCCTATATTTATTGAAATAACCAGTTATGAATATTGACCTAAACAGCATTGAGTAACATAGATCCGAAAGCGTTCATAGAATCATCCCATGAAGCTTAAAACTTTTATAGCCAGCTTCATATTGACTAAGGGTAAATGCATTCAGTTAGAAAATTTTCTAAATGAAAGATATTTGTTAAAATACACACCATGATGGCCAAGAGATTTAACAGAATTATTCCACGTGATCATCCGTTTAGGTTAGAATGATGATGAAAGTTAAAACAATATACAAAACAGTAGAAAAAAAAACAATATGTAGTATAGTTTTAAACAATATTTATATTTTTAGTACTTTATTTATATTTGCATGATACTAGTTTGAATTGATTTTCTAGATTTAATTTTAATTTCATTGAATAATAGTTTGCATTTTTTTGTTTATGTTCTGTTTTCTCTTTTTTTTCTTTTTCGTTTACCCCCAATCTATCTAATTTATACATTGACACGGATCTACTTCATTAAAATCTATCTCCTCTTTCTATCAATCCACTCGTCATGTTTGTAATCAATAATAATAAACTACAGAATACACCTAAATAATAAGGGGTTAAACCCATTCTTGCCCCCAAATCTTTCTAATGAAGTAAAAAACAAAAATAATAATAAACACAGTCATTGTGTATCTATCGTCCACAAATAAAAAATGTTTTATTATCTCAAAACAGTAGAGTGCAGAACAACAAAATCGATTGATCAAGTGAACAAGAATGAACACAGTGAGTTTAGTCAAGCAAAAACAAAAAGTAAATTATATAATCTATTATTATCATCTGTCACCAGATACACTTATCTTCTGTGTATTAATTATGATTATTCACATAGACTATAATTTTAATCCCTATTTATAATTGTTCTTTTGTTCACTTTGTTTTTTCTTCTTTGGTTTATTTTATTATTGTCTATGCTCATCATATAATCATTCTGTTTGCCCTAAAAATTAAACTAACTTCACCTGTTTGTGTAGAAAGAAGATTGGCGTGATCAATTAAAATCCAAAGAATAAATATGATGCTATTTTATTTGTCAGGAAATTATATTTATATTGAAAATGATACTAGTATTAATGCTGAATATAATACATGCTTTTGTCATCTAGTCTATTGAAGAATTTTAGACTAATGATTCAATCAATGTGTTTCTTATTCATGCCTTATCTTCTTTTGCTATGTATCTTCTTCTATTAAATTTCGCTTGATTTAACTGGGATAATTTTTTAGGTGTAATTATATAGTAGTGATCCTTAAGTTTCCGTCTGTTTGTTGATTTGGTTTGGTAATTATTAAACATGAACATGGTTTTGATTTTCTATTCTGCTATTGTGACTGTCATAAAAAATTCTTCAAGATTGATAATCAGAGTTTATAATTGTGTTTGCTGTTTATGAAACTCTCTCTCTCTATATATACTATCATTCCTTATATCTCACTCTGTAAGCTTACATGCTATTTTTTCTCTTTACACTGACGAGCATGTTGTTCTACTGTAGTTGGATTTTGTTTTTTGAATGTTTCGCTGTTTTGAACATTTCAATTTACTCGATCTTTGACTTGACATTAAATCATTGTAGAACTCTGTATGGATCACTAATTGAATGAGAAAACTTCCATTCACGCTGTTTCTACCGCGGTTATTCCTTTTCTTGACTAATACCATGTTATATTATCAATTCGTCTTTTTTTTGTTCAATTAGCAAATTAATACAAAATTGCTTGAGCATTATACAAAATTTAATTAGCTATTTTATTCCAAACTGTCTTCCTGATTATTTTTCTCTGCGTCTGTCTTCGTTTACTTGTCTCACATTACTTATTTAAACTGCTGTGTTGATTCATGTTTTCACTTGATGTTTGTTTACTAATTAAATCCTTGTTATAAAAGCCAGAATAAAGAACAAGTAAAATAAAATACCCAATAATTTCCTATCAGATTTTCTGTTTTCATTATTTCCATGAGTATTATATCTCGATATATTATAATCACAGTTAAGGATTCTTTCGATTTGATCACTAATAATAGTCTGAGATCTTTGCACTTTATCAATTTCAAAGATAAATCTTTGTTTATCTTATCTAAACGTATAAATGTTTCTACAAAACGGACACCAGAATATATGTGTGTGTTATACAGTAAATATGATACTGGAAGGAGACAAGAAAAAAACTAAGTTAATGACAGTGAAAAGAAGAATAATGGAAGTAGTTCACTTTGGAAAATCAATCACAAAAAATACTTTCTTTAAAAATAAAATCCCCTTGCTTTTATTAGAAAAGTAAAAGAAACCTACAGTAGCGCCGTGACTAGCTTCTATTATTAAACATATCTGATGAAGTCTTAAGCCACTAAGCTTCACCATCTTCAAGATTTCAACTTGGGAGTTATGAAGGGCCATTAAACGTCCTGTACAGTTTTCCCTCATGCCGTTATACCACACTGATCACCTTTCCAATTTTCCCAACTAGTTCCAGTATTGGAAAAAATGAACTGTGTAAAATTCGCTAGGACGACTCGTAGTACAAGTCCAAGTCATAGAGGTCAGTGTTTTAAGATGGTGATTCAAATTGAGTCAACTATACCTATTCATCACTGGACTCTTCGTTTCTGTCGCTAATGATTGAAACACGTTTCAATGATTTGATGGTTTTTGAGGGATCTGAGCTTGCTGACTAGTTATAACTTTCACTGAAAGCTGGTTTGACTCGATCAATGTCAGTCGCATCCGTTTTCATGCGTTTTCTTTCAAAACAATTTTATTATTTCTCTTGATCAGTTTAAATGGGCCATCGGAACTGACAGTGGTCACAAAATATCAGTGAGTATATGCTCAAACCCTGTATTGGCTTGACGGAAAGAGTCTATCGCGGAACTGGTGTGACAATGGACTTTGAATTTCGACATTTCATACATGCTTATGTTCAATTACGAACATCCCAGTTTATACTTGACCATACGAAACGCGCGGTGCTTCTTATTCCTGGATGTGATATATTCTGCGATTTTTGTAAAACTTTCGTTTCAATGGACTCAGAATAAACGGCCGTGGTTGGTTTATAGAAATATCACATGATATCGCTATAATGCTGAATTGAGTTTCTTCGAAAACCAAAGCTGTATTAGCGGATCTTATCTTGCTTAACTGGATATTTGTGTTTTGCGATGTCGCACGTTTATGATAATAGATTTCAGTTAGAATGAGAATGTTTATCGTCGTTCTGGCTAACGTATCTGCTAATTCATTATTACTGCCTTTAATATACTGTATGCTGAACGTAAATTAGGAAATCAATTCTAATTGACATGCTTCTCTCGGTAAATAAATATCTTGCTCGGCGTTTAATGCTTTCGTAAAAGGTATCTGATCTACATACACACTAAAAATGATGCTCTCCATCATATATCGGAGATGCATAAGAACGAAGTAAATAACTAGTTATTCTCCTCCGAATGTCCTTTACCTCGTCTGAGTAAGATTCAATCTGCCTGATAAAAATGAACGTGGTTCCTATGTGCTATTTACTAACTGATATAATATGGTTCTGACTGACGCATTCGATTTATCAGCCATAAGTAGTAGTGGCGCATCGATTCCATGAAACTAGTATGGTTTTTTCGTTTAGATTTCGCTCGAATGTCTGTATAACTTCTGCAACAGACAGAATGTTTGGGCATATTCCTCCCATGGTGTTCATCAATAGTTTCAATATTGTCGCACAGTTTTGACCAAATCACCTGTAATAACTTACTAGCAGCAGAAATGGTCATTTTCCTTCGTGGTTTGGATAACATATGTCGGTGAATAACAGCGACTTTCACAGAATTTGGCGTAGTGCTTTGAAAACTTATCAGTTGACTTTTGGATAGCAGTGATTCATTTCCGAATTTGCTCTTCTCAACGTTGAAGGGGATGTCAAGCTATTGAAGTTTCACATGAAACTGTCCTAGTTGTTGTGGATGATCTTCCGACGTCTCACTGACTACTAACAGGTCACTGGTGTACGCATATGCCCCTGGTAGACGTCTAATGACTTGATCGATGAACCTCTGGGAAGTTCGTGCTGCATTAGTCAGTTCGAAGGGTATGTGTAAAAATTCACACTACTTAAATGGGATAGTTTCTACAGTTTCAAGTATCGTCTCTGGAACGACAGAAATGTCATAATAAGCCCTAACAACGTCAGTCCTCAAAAAATTCGCGGTATCTTCCATATCCTTAGTGAAGCCATGGGTATGCAGTACCAAATATGTATCAGTTACTGTTTGCTTGCTAAGAGCTTGAAAGTTTTCACTATGCTTGATTTTATCGTTCTTTTTCATGGCCATGTCCAACGGCGATGCCTAAGGGCTACGAAATGGTCTTGCAATGTTTAGCTTCTTTAAATTACAGAATTCCTGTAATGAAACGTTTGGGTTTGTGTTGGCTAGAATGTTACCTGGATGCCAACACGGAAGCAAATAGTTTTCGTAGGCAGCCACTCTCCGAGCCTTTGTCCTAGAGGTCTGATCCTCAAAGCAGTGAGCACTGTTAAGAGATGCTATTCTTTGGTAGCTGGCATAAATGTATATCTAGGTATCTTTCCTGAAGGGTGTCCATTCGTATAACAAAATTGTTTTCGGTGTAAATAATTGCGAATCACTTTTTGTACATGATTTAGTTTATTGATAAAATTACTGGTTTACGTTTATATAATTTTCCTATTCAAAATGGCCCTATTTAAAGTGAGGGTATTATATCTTTTAATTTTGTATTCAGTTTCAGTGGTATTGAAACACATCATGAATATTGAAAAATTGGCTTCACGATTGAAAACTATTTCTGATACATGAGGCACCTAACAATCAATCAATCAATCAACGGCAACGTAGAAACTCGTACATACGTACATTAGTTCAAGTTGCCACACCACATTAGCACAAAGATTTAATTGTCAATTCAAATCCCATAATAGTACACGTAGTAAAAGTGTTAGCAGTAATTGGTAAGATTAGGGTTTGAAGATAACATTCAAGAAGTAGAATCTAAAGAAATAAACTTAAAAATAAAAAGATAAAGGTGATGAAGGATTCAGAAGGCTAGGATTTAAGGGAACACAGAGAGCGGATGAGGCTGTACCATTGCAAACGATTCTGAGCCATGTATACCAAGGTCTCTAACCATTGATTACTATCATCTCGCGGACACCAACCAGGTAGTCGACACCTACAAATATGACTCAGTGCACTCATCTGTAACTTCATGGATTTCTGCCATGTTTCGGTTTAGCCACCCCTAACTTTCTTCCAACCGATTTCTATATCGCAAAACATAGCTCGATGTGGCATTCGTTGGTTAGGCATACATAACACATGTCCTAACCACCTCAACGGATGAAGTTTAAATACTTCATCGACTGACCTACCATTCTAACCTAAGACCTGTTTCCCAACCACAGCATTGCTCACTTGGTTGTCCTATGATACATGAGCAATGCTTCAGAGACCCCTAACAATCTTCCTCAGTTTATAAGAGTAGTTCAGCTTACATTAGTCCATAATTAGATCGTCAT